TCTGTTTATGAACTCAACTTTCCATGATTGGCGGCAATCGAATCACAAGCATAGCGTATGGACTGAATTCTGTGATCAGAACCATGGGAAGAATTAAGTTCTGGAATCGAAGTATCACTTTATAAGCAATGATCCATTACCTAAGAAGTCAGAATGGAATCATGTCTTGAACTACAAATCAGTAAACCACCCAGTAGAAAGATGAATGAAAGATGTGAAGAAGTAATTCACCAAAGAGAGAGAGAGAGACAGACAGGGAGAGAGAGATAGAGGAGACAGAGAGAGTGAGAGAATACATATAAACATAAGGAAAGAAGCATCCTCTATCATGGAAATGCAAATTAAAGCACACAGAAAATACCATGTTTGATCCTCCACCTGGACAATCACCAGAAAAATGGCATAGTGTGTAAGGGCATGAGATCTAAAGTCAATTGGAAAACAGTGAAACCAGAGGACATTATAGGAAGCAAAATATGCCACACATGGAAAGACAAACAAATAAACAAACAAACAGAGATCAACCTAAGAGTAAAAGAACGATTGCTAGAGACTGGGAAGGGTATGAGAGTAGAAGTCAGGTGAAAGAAGGACAGACAGATTTGATCAATGCATGCCGAGTGCATGTATGGAAATATCATAGTGACTCTCATGAATTTATGCAATTAATATGTTAATAATAAAAACTAATAAACAAATGAAATCAACTCAATTTCAAGGCTAGTTCTGGCCAATGTATATCCCAGGACAACATTCTTAATTCACAGGTCCCTGAAAAGGTATAACAGTATTAATACCTACCTTGTCCAGTTCTTATGAGCATTAAATGATTTTATATACATAAGGCATTCACACCTGTGCCCAGCAGAAAAGACCCACTTGATAAACACAGCTATTATGTTGAGGAATCTAGTGTTGAGGAATATATTGAAGCAGATACTTCTTCTGTCAGTATGGTCAGAGTAATCCAGTTGAAAGGTAATCTAGTGTTTTCTACTAAAAATAAACATGTGCATATCATATGACTTTACAATTGTTTCTGAGAATTGTACTTCTGGAAGTGTATATGTTTGCTTCATTCTCATTGCAGTGTTATTTGCAATAAAAAAATCTGGAAACTACTCAGTTGAGGAATGCCTATCTATAATCTAACTTTGGATACTTACTACATTACTCTTAAAATATTAAAGTAGACTTCTTGTATTGATATAGACTGATCTCTAGGATTTTTGGCTTAGTGAAAATAGCAATATCTATACATCACTGATTTTTTGATATTGATCATTTAAATCATGTGTATGTGCATGTGGCTGAATAAATTTTAGGTTTGTTTAAGGGATATTAACTCTAAGGGAGGTATTACTATTGGGTACAGTAGTCAAATAGAGTTTTTACAGTACTTATATTACCTATTTTTGTATTGTATTCTATTGTTTGCATAATCAAAATCTAGTGGAGGTTGGAAATTATTATTTAATTCATAGAATTTCATTAAAATGATTAAATATTTCTAGAGATGCATAACAATGATGGCTGTGCAACATTATGAATGTCCTATTAGTATGTTTATGTTAAACTTCGAAAAAATGGTCAGATTGGTAGATTTGGTTATGTATGCTTTGCTACAATAAAACTTTTAATTTAAAAACATATGTTTTATTCTATATTTCATCACAGAGTCTAATAAGGGGGCAGTCTGTACCACAGAGGGCAAAACCAGTGACATTCCAGCTAATTCTTAAAAGCACAGGATTTGGGTGGAAAGACTTGGAGAACAGAGAGAGTAGGCTGGGAAAGGAGAGCGTGGAGAGGCTTTCTACCCAGAGCACAGTCTTAAAACAAGATGGGTGGCAACATCAGAGAGACATTGGCTGGAAACCCCATCACTGCCCACTGATGGAAAGTGGTGTTGATCCCAGGAGAGACACAACCTTACTCCCCCAGCTCCCGGGTCTGTCTTTCCACAGTCAACAGCCCTGTAGAGATAGCTTCACAAGTGGGGAGACAGGGTAGGAAAGGAAAGGGGTTATAAAAGGCAGCATTTCTTAATGGCTTGTCTTTTCATGGTAGCAGGCTCCTCTTTCAGACAGCATCCTCACACCTGGTGGGAACTGGATTTCCTTCTGAGAATATGCCTTTCAAGTAGATTAAAAACTATTTTCATGAGTTGCAGCTGTTTACATGCAAACCTGTCATTTAGATGATGTGTGCCTTCACAGACACCCACGGAGGCTTATCAATGCCTCCCTTCATTTGGTGTGGGGGGGTTAATTTCCTTTAGATTCCTGTGCAGTGTCTAAGCAAGGGAAGGTGGCAGGGAATGGTTGGGTGTTTTATTTCCTTAAAGTGGAGACAAAAATGTAAACAGGAGAGTTGGGTGGGGCTGGAACAAGAATGTAGTGTCTCCACCAGGGATGAGGGAGGAGGGTCTCACTGTGGATTCTCTGCCCTGAGCTCATTCTTGAGACATGGTAGGTTCATCCTAAGGCCACAGCTATTGCAGCTTTCACTGTCACAGACTCCATGTTTCATGGTTCCTGCCACCCATTCACTGACACTGCCTGATGCTGAGCCCTGCCCCAGGAGACAGAAAGATTCTAGCAGGACAAGAGCATGCTGGTTTGGGAGAATATGGGGAAGCCTTGCACTCAGCTATTGTGGACTACAAATTCCAGAACAAATTTTAAAATGTATCCTGAATTGAATTTTAGACTTGTTTTTACCAAACATTAAAAAGGAAGAAAAATGGGTGAACTACTTTGATCTGGAGTTTATACTACTTTCTAGAATTTGTGAAATTGAATGTAAAGTATTTTCTACATTGAAGATTGACCTACTGAGGAAATCTGTGTAGAGAGTCTTCAAACAACTAAAACCAGAGCTTCGATTTGACCCAGCTATTTCCCTTTCTTGGTGTCTTTTCAAAGAATTAAAGCATCATACCACAGCAATATATGCACACCCATATTTATAGCAGCACAGTTTTTAGTAGCTAAATCTTGGAAACAGCAGCCCAAATGCCCATCAATTGATAAACTGATAAAGAATATATGGCTTTTTAAAAAGATATACAATCAAATATTACTAGCTAGTAATATTATACTAGTAGTAGTAGTACTACTGGCTATCAAGAAGAATAAACTTGAGACATTTCTAAGTAAATGGATGGACCTTTAGACCATATTCTTCAGTGACATAATCAGTTCACGTGTTCAAATACTGCATGGTTTCTTTGACATGAGAAACTGAAAGGGTAAAAAAAGATGAAAATGTATAATAGATATTGGGGAAAGGAAAGAAAAATTTCAAATGGGAAGGGAACTAGGGAAGAGGGAGAGGGGAAGGAAGGGAAGGAGGGAAATGGAAAAAAGAAGAAGGAAAAAATAGAAACAAAACTTTTGTAAGTAAGGCAGGAAGAGAGGCTAACGGGAGGGGAAGGGAAGAAAAGAAGAATCAAGCAACTTATGTATAGGTACAAACTGCCTATGATAAATGTTGTCATTATGTATATCTAAAGTGTACCATTAAATTAATTTTAAAAAGAACTTACAGAACAAAAAAGAAATGAAGACTGATCTAAATTCTAGAAAGATAAGGGTATAGCTAATGAGGCCTTGGAGAAAAAACAGTTGATCCATTCAATCCAGAATAAGACAAAAATAGATGCTACTCCAGTGGTGTGTGTGCACATGCATGGGGTGTGTGTGTGTGTGTGTGTGTGTGTGTGTGTGTGTGTGTGTGTTGGTATATTTGGCTAAAGCAGACTGTTCCTTAGATAAATGCTCTATGAAAATGTGTTAATACCAAATACCATATCTGTAACTGGTCTTTATTCCAGCAAGACTTTTTAAAATAATATTTCCTGGATAAATGGAAAAACATGGTCGGGGAAGTAGCAAATATTACTCCTAGATTATTGTTTTTATAAACTTAGGTTTCTTCATCTAATAATAAAAAGTTGAACTAGATATGCATTACGGTCTTCTCTGCTTTTTTAGCTTATGCTTGTACCGAACAAAGATCTCAGATATTTCCCAAGAATTCTGAATGCCGAGTCCTTACCTGGGTGAAAATGAAGAAGACCTACTTCCAGAACCTTGTGGTGGGGTGTCTGTTGCCTAGGTGAATCAGCAATCACAGTTACCTGCTCTGCCCCATCTCAAAGCCCATAAAATAATTTTGAAACCATTAAAGTAAAATGTTAGTACAAAATTTTGATTTTTGTAAAATTCCATTCATTAAGGTGAATGTATCAGATATATATATATTGATAACAGGTCAGATAAGTTACAAGGATTTGACTAACTTTAAATTCAGTAACAAATGTCAAAACAGTATACATCAGGTGTGGACACAAAAGAAGGCTTAACACAGTTCAGGCTTTGTTAATAAACTGTAGGGTCCAACTGAAAGGATGATATTGCCTTAGTCAATCCCTGTCTTGACTTGGGGTTGCCAGGTGCAGAGTTGGTCCCCCTTCCTGAACTGGGAGAATAGCACCAGGCCTGAGAGTGTCCAGCAATGAAGGCCATGATGACAGCAAAATATCTTAAAGGTGTGTGGGAAGGACCAAGGTCTCTGGCCACTCCCACCTGTTGACCTCACACCACCATCTTCCCTAGCTCAGGTGTTTCCTAGCATCTGTGCAACTGAGGATGGCTGGCCTAGCAAGGCAGGATAGAGATACACCATCTCCAAGGGAACCACTTCCGGACATGTCTATTAGAAACTTGTTCTTACCTCAAGTAGGAATCTCATTCTCAATGACTCTTCTAATCCCTCATCGACATAAACAGCCCTCTAAATAAATCCAAGGAAATTGATACTTAGCTGCAAACAGCCATAAAATGGAACTTCTATTAAAGATGGCACCTTTCTTAGCTTTAGAAAGCTGTCTAGCACAGAGGGCAAGACATTTTTCATTTTTTGCACAGTTCAGCAGCAAACATGAGTGTAGAAGTTCACATTGGTTTGGCCTATCATACAAGGCCTGAAGATGCCTGCAGTAAATTAAATCGACTGAGTTTGTCTGCTGGTACGTGCCCGGTGTACAGTGGGCTGTGAACAGCAAGTTCCTTGCTGATGTACGCAGCCTGTTACACGTATGGGCTTCCCTAAGCGACCTTGGAGATGCTCCTTCCTGTAGATGTTCATATTTCTGATCTCCTGTGTCCCCAACCCAGGCTCCAGACTCATATGTGAGGTCCCTTAGGGAAGCCCCCAAGCACAATGTGAGGGTGATCACATTGGATAGGTCATCGTATTCATTCATGCCAAGCTTCAGAGCAAAGAGCATGTGATTGAGGTCCTACACAGGGCCAACCTCAAGTTCCCTGATCACCAGAAGATCCACATCTTCAAGAAGTGGGCTTCCCCAAGCTCAGTAGAGATGAATTTGAAGACATGGTGGCCAAGAAGCACCTGATCCCTTTGCAGGTATTCCACCCTGCAGAAGTGGAACAAGGTCAAGGTCTCCTGGAAGTGGTGGTCCTTACACTCCTGAAGGCTTCCACTGTGCCACCCACTTCTTAGCAAGTTCATCAATAAATCTTATTTACGACCCCTCAAGAACCCTGAAAATGCTAAAAAAAAAAAAAAAGTGCTAAAAAAATAGAGCAATGATCTCTATGATTCTGACACTTTTGGGTATTTCTGGTTTATACAAAATTCTTAGAACACTCTTCATTTACACTGATTTCAAAAATAAATGTGTGTTCTAGAGTACTTTAGGAACACTATAAAAATTCCCAGTTGCAATTCCAAACAAGTTGGAATCATTGGCTCATTTTGCTATCTTTCTTCTATTTCCAAAACACTTCAATTATCATCCTCTGAATGCAGTGTTGATTCCTATTCTGTATCCCAGCACTGTTAGTATTTTTGTAAAGGCTGCCACTGCTTCTGCTATGTATTTCCACTTCCCTGGTACCTATTCTAATGCCTGCTGGATGCGTGACCCCTTGCAGCACATGAAAGACACAAACAAGACCACACACAGTGGGTGAGCTCGACCATGGTGCAAGAAGGTACAAAACCTCCGATTTGTAAACACTGAAATGCAGACTGCCCTAAAGCTAGTTTGTGTGACTTGCCTTAGAGGCAAACAGAATTGGAGTCTACCACTCCACCTTTCATTTCACAGGCCTGCAAAAGGCCAAGAAGTGCTGTGGTGCACTCGTGGGTATTTCGTCACCTCTTTTTAAAAACTTAATTTGTTCAAAGTAAATAAAATGTTGCTGTGCAGGTAATTAATCAGGAATTACATGGAAGGTTTATTACAAGGCCAAGAGTAAGCAATCTCCTGAGGCACATGGCAAACTCTCTTAGTAAATAATTATTTAAAATTATTTACTAAATTAAGTCATTCCTTTTGTGATATCTCTGAGACTTCAAGTAATTGGCTGGGCTCGCTTCAGTTTGGTATTTTGTAAAGAAAAAAAAATAGTGCTACACAATGAATTAACTGTGCAATTAACTACAAATTTAGCACTTCAGAAACACATTTTTAATGACTAAGAACAGGTACACAGAGCCCCATGTGTGTTTTTCCCTTTAAAAAAAAAAAAAAAACAGGTAGAATTTTCCATGTTGTTTCATGCAGGAGGCTGGGAGAGTGTTAGCACAGTGAAACTGATTATTTTCCACTTACAGAGACTCAGAGACATTGAGCCTTAGTCATGGGCTTTGCCCTAGAATCAAGGTGACAAATGCTTTGACCTGGGCAGGGCTACCTCCTTCCTATGCAGGGACAAACTCTCCTGGAGGAGCCTGCCCTGCGCCCTCCCAGGCTCTAAGAGGAAGGACAGTGATCAAATGCCTTTGAGATCTGTCCCTTCCTGCATATCAAGGCATCCCTGGATAGCACTGAGGAGATGGATCATGGAAAGCTAAGTTTGGGTTAATTAAAACCTTTAATTACCTGGTTTTTGTCACTGTTATGTTATTTTTTTAACTAAAATGCAAATCATTAGGGTTTTTTTTTTAAAGCAGAAAGGAACTGGAAGTTATCTCACTGAGTACATTGCAAGGGTTTATTATATCACTTTATGCCTTTGCACATGTTTTAGGGCTCAATCATGTAATAGGAAGGAAGCATCTATCACCTTAGGTCCTGGGCTGTGGAGTCTTCCAAGTGTGCCACCTCATGCAACTCGTGTGACATTTTCATGACGTTGGTGTGGTAAGTGTGATGCTATTTGGAGAAAATGAAAAGACTTTTCTCATGCTGTATAGTTCCTCTGAAGCACAACCAAAGTAGACCTTCCTCCCTTGCTTCAAACACATACACACACACACACACACACCGACAGAGAAATCCATAATGCTATGAAATTCTATCTTGATGTTTAGAGCACATTCTCCACCTTGGCTTCAAACATAGTGGACCAAAGTTCAAATGGTCCTAAAGCTACAGAAAAATCCCCCGATCATTAAGTAATTAGGTTGCTGTTGATCTAGTACAATTTCTACAGGTAAGAAAATAAACACATTTGTTGTAGAAAAAAATCATTTTGCTAGCAGTGTTGAAACTGGAAGGCTTGGATTTTCAACTGAAGTAGACACATTCGTTAGCCTTATTCCTTAATATGCCAGGAAATTAAGACACTGCTTGCTCAGTGACATCTCACTCTGCTCCTAGACATTGTGCATTGCTGTACAGACTTGCTTTTCCTTCTGCTGCCAATTCCAGTGGCTTCTGTTCAGCTTTTCTGGGCCTCTTTGCAGCCTTTAATGCTACTGAGCACCCCACTGCTTCATTCAACAGCATCATTAGCACCTCCTATGTGCCAGGCACTCTGCCTGCCGCTCAGACATGATTTCCACATCCAGAAAGAGAAGGGCATCAGGTGATGCCAATGCCAGAGAAGTTCACACTAATTCAGGGTGTGGATGAGGCAAATGTGGGCTGAGATTGCAGGGTTTGGAAGCCATAGCAATGTTTGTGTTGATTATTCCAAGGACAATGAGAAGCTACTGTGATTTTTCTTGTTTGTTTATTTGTGTTTCAGTTAGAAATTATGATGAGGCTTGTATATTAATCAGCTTTCCTGTTGTTGGCACCAAAGAAACCAAAATCCACAATTTAAAGTAGGAAATGGTTTATTTGGTTTACAGTTTTGAGGATTTATTCCTCGTTCATCCACTTGCAAAGCAGAAAAATCAAGGCAGAAGGTCATGAGGAGCAAAGTTGCTCATTCCACAGTGCCCTGGAGCAGAGCGGGTAAACAGTGCCAGAGAGAAAAGGGTCCCGGGCCGGATAGAGACCTCCACCACCCACCCAGACACATCCGGAAGTGTTCCTCCCTAATCCCCTAGGCAGCTCCCAAGCCAAGCCAATTGACAAGCTTTACCAGTGCGGTTTGCATGCTTATGTTACCCAAAGATTACTGTTATGTTTTTTAAAATGAAATAAATATTATAGTGAATGGATTGAAGGATGGCAAAAGTGGCCCCAGAAGACCACATAGAAGGTGACTATAATAATTTAGTCAGGAGAAAATGACTGCCAGATCCTGAATAATGACAAAGGACAGAGAAGAACTGGACACATGCTGTGGATACGCTATGCAGGATGGGTAGGACTTGGTGAGTGGAGATGGGAGGGAGTGTGGGATGACTTCCATGTCCACGGCTGGACAGAAACTGTTTCTGAACCATGGTGTGGCGTGGGCTGAAAGAGGTACTAATGGTGGGTTCTATGCTGTGCATGTTGAGTATAAAGTCCCTTGAGGTCACCTGGGAAAGCTGCCAAGGAAGTATCTATAGAGCAGGGAAGCATCTAGTCTGGAGTTTGGTAGTTGTGGATGGTATCTTAAGCCAAGAAAATTATTGAGATCACTGTGGGAGAGTATGTGAAAAAATAAAGTCTCAGTCTTTAACTCCTTGAGTCCTACTAATTATCCAGTCCTGTAGTTATTTATGGACTTGAATGTTATTGTTTTGACCTCAAATGTCCCCCAAAAGTCTCATGTGTTCAGAGGTAGACTTCCAGGAGGTTATTGGATCATGAGAGCTTTAATATCAAGTAAATTCATTCATTGATGGTATCGTAATTTGATGGCATTTTTGGAAGGTGGAGACAAAAGGGGGGCAAATTGAAAGAAATGGACCACTGATGCCTGACCCTAAGGGTTACACCAGATCCCAGGCCCTTTCTGCTCTGTGTCTTTCCCTTAGTCTATGGTTCCTAGCTGCCGTGAGGTGATCAGCCTTACCACACCATATCCTTTCTCCATGATGTTTCTGCTTTGCCACAGGCCTAAAAGGAATGGAGCCAGCTGACCACAGACTGAAACCCCTGAAACTATAAGGCAAAATAAATCTTTTCTCCTCTAAATCATTTAGGCCCTGGCCATTTATTAAAGATGTTTGTAACAGTCTGCTCTCCTGGGTCTTATTCTCTCACATTCATTTACCTTTCTCTACATTATCAAACTAATTTTCTTAGTGCTTGACTTTTGTTATATTGGTTTACTGCTCCAAAATCTTCGGTGTCACTCCCATGTTACGTGTGCAAAGCATAATCACTTCACCCAGGAAATGAGGGCCAAGCTGGCCTCAGGTTACATAGTCATGGTTGCTGTTCCCCTCTATTTGTTCCACTTTCTCAAAGATCATATTTGTGACCTTGAGTAAGACATTTAACCTTTTCTTCCTCCAGTTCTCCACTTACTATTCCTGGGAATGAATGGGGAAAGGACTTTTTCATGCACAGAATAAAAGACTGTGCTGAGCCTCTGTACAAAGAGATGGATCTTTGCCCCTGGACATTAGCTTCCCCCAGTCTTCAAAACTGGTTGCAGTGATGCCAATAGATAAATGAACCATGAGGTTGGTACGGAGATAATAGAGGAGACAGACTTCAGGCCAAAGGAGGGAAATAGTTCAGCAGCCAACCACTCATTTCAGACAAATGAAGCCTTCGCTCATCTCAGAAGAACTTGATGAAATTCAACTCACATCCTTAATTATTCAAGTTATTTACAAATAATCAATCAGCAACATGTGTACAAATATTTGTCTAGAACACTGAGCAAGCCCTGGAGGGGAAATGGAGTTTCTGGTCCCATAGAGCTAGGACATTGAATGAGCTGACCCAATTTACACAAAGGAGAGCTCCCTCGGATAGACTCGAG